TGTTTTTGTTTACCCTTAACTTAGAATCCCTTTAATGTTATGAGCTTCCAAAACACATAATATGTATACAGTGTGTTGGAGTGGAGTAGCTTGCGCGCCTCGAGAAACATAAGTGCAATGCAATCACCTGCTAGGGTCTCCCATGGCGGTAATGAATCAGAAAAGCATGATACGACTCCCAGTATGTTGGCGGTCAAGGCGAGAGACCGAGAACAAATCGGCAGTCCAATGCAAGCTATCATCATGAACCTACCTGTCAAGCTCTGGTTTATCGCAGTGGATAGTATCAGCTGAAGTGTGTGTGTCATGATTTGGCGACCCATGGACGACCTCAAATAATTCGCAGCCAAAAGGTTCATTCACAAAAATTTTCTTCTTCCACGTACACACCCACACACACACACAGACATATATATATATATACATACATATATATATATATATATATATATGTATATTTATGTATATATATATATATATATATATATATATATACACACACACACACACACACACACACACACACACACATATATATATATATATATATATATATATATATATATGTATTTATAAGGTAACAAATCCCAGTAAAATACAATATTAAAACTGATCCACAAAAAAAGAGCTCAATGTATTTATTATTATAGAGCAAATAATTAAAAAACAATAAATTTATAAATCACCTCATATGGGGGACAACTATTTCGCCAGACGAAAATATTGGTAATCTGACTTATCAACCCCGGTGTGGACTGAGTTCGTTTCAGAAATAGAAATGCAACTGAAAGTTAAAAAAACAAAAGAGAAAAAAAAAGAGAAAAAAACAACCGGAAATCTAATATAGAATTTATCAATTTCATTGCTTAACCCAAACGAGAGGCACGGGACAGAGGTGAGGGATAGATGGAAGGTATTTGTCATAAAGTTAAGAAGTTTTATAAAATTAAACCCGAATATGTCATTTTCTCTTCAAGTAATATGTGCAGTTTATTTTAGTTGTTGCTTCTATTGAAAATACTCACACGTCGCGGTTTCTACTATTTGGTACATCTCTCTTTTGTCATTGTATAGCGCCAGTCCTTAATGTTCAAAGAAGGGTGATCTTCCCAGAATGCACAGGTTTTACTCGCTCAAACGCATTTTTTAAAAATTGATCTGAGAAATCCGTTGTATACAGCTGATAGTTTACCGACATCCATGACATCCATATGAAAATTTCAATCTAATGAGGCTATTTAAGAACGTGGCTCGAATTTTAGTTTAATATTTTGGTTTTGTAGATATTTGCGACGTTGGAGTATAACTACCTGCAACGTACCCTATTCTATTTTCTATTCCCTTATTTGTTATACTATTTTTATAATAACTGATGAATAGACTGTTTGCTTTAGTAACTTCCTCGCCAGGAAGTGTGTTCTCTGTACTTTTTCTATAAATATTTTCATGGTAAATCGTCTGGATGAGCTCTTTGCTATAGTACCTAAAGTTTATGATGTTAAGCACATTGCAAGAATGTCGGCAAGATCTCATTAATTTACAGTTGCATTGAATAGCTATAACCCTAATTTCTATGCTAACAGCTTGTTTCCTCGAAATTCTTGCTTGTGGAAGCCTCTTCCGACGCCATGCTTGATCTTCCAAAATTTTAATGCAATATCAATCATTTTCAACTGTCTTCCTGATTACACTTCTATTTCCCCCCCTATTTCTATTTTAAAATTATTTTACACCCAGTGACACCTTGTGTCTTCGTGGCTTTGTCATTTTGAATTTTTTGTGATAGATTCAGGGTTGTTAAGGGATCTTACCCATAATAATAATAATGGACTATTCCATACTTAATAAATACTGCGCCTCAGGAGTAGGCAAGAAAGAGTCAGTCAGTAGTTCGAGTAGAGTCAAGAGTCGAGTTAGAGGCAGTCCGAAACAGAGTCGCGTTCAGACAATTACTGCAAGACATTGGAATAGTAATACTGATCGAGACTACATTGTTCTCTCTACTAAACCTGATTGTTCATACTAACACTTTCTACTTCTCTGTATATATTCCTGTTTGTAATATATCTGTGTTATTCCATACCTGTGTTCGAGTTCTTCTTTATTGGTTCTAACTTGGACTATCACCGTGGTACAAGGAACCGGACCACAACAAGGGTATTTGTTGTGATTTCTTTCATTCAAGATTTCCTATATTTTGGAATAATTGTTAGAGGATATTGACCACGTGGTTATTGCCAACTTTTACGCAACAAAATGGACAGTAAAACGTGTACGTTATCTTCAGATCTCTAACAACTGAATCCTTTATTATTTTACCTAGATTTCTACACATGGCGAATACTACCCAATTTATAACTACGGAAAACACGCCCAAATGACTCGAGACCTTCAGACCTGTGTTCTACCGTTAAGCAAACTCACAATGAAGTGAGACAATCATAGGAAGCTTAATATGAACTCTGATCTCTTTCAATTAGATTCGCTTTTCAAATGTAACTCCCGAATGTCCAATCAGAAAGTACATTTCAGCCGTCGATTAGCGAACAACCATCTCCAGGAAATGTCGGCTGTCCGCCAAACACCGTTCGGTAATTAGGAATTTTGACCTTTGCGGTAACCTCAAAGATGCTGCTGCAGCTGCTACTGTTGCAGCCATTAATATTCGGTCTAATAATAAGAATTATTATTATTATTATTATTATTATTATTATTATTACGTGTAAGCAGTGTCTTTGGGGCTTCCGTGACCTGACAAATTATTACACAACTGACCTTTGGGTTTTACACAATTGTTCAATATCACATAAGTCCCTACTTCAACTTTACAAAATTGTATGGCTATTTCTTCTTATGCTTCTTATTCTATTACTTTGATATTAATTATGTTTGTTTAAGTTTGACATAAGGCCATCTTAGGAGAGAACATTTTTTCTGACCATATTATGAATTGAGATTATTATTTTTTTTTTTTTCAAAAATAAAAGGAATTAATGCCAAATTAAAAACCGGGGCTTTTATCGTGTTACACCAGTAGATGGATATTTGTTTTTAGCGGTATGGGATACTTAATGCCGGCATCTAAATACTTAGTACGCAATTTTACTCTTTTTAGAAATAATAGTGGTTTAGTGACACAAGTTTCACTAATTAACCCATAGATGGGAGAGTTGGGATGGATCCATACCTTTCTAAATGGTCAGTTATTTATGTGCCATGCGTGATACACGCTAAAGGTGATCATATATCTTTCGATACATGACGAGGCAGAATTTTTCCCGCAGTAGTTTGCCATTTCTTTCTGCGGTAGACCAGTTGCCATTCAATGCTGTAGAACCAGGTCTGTCCTGCTATTTACCCATAGCTTGGAGGAGAAGTAGAGGATTCATACGTTTCCTAAGGGTATTAGCACGTAAGTGAATGTAATGGATTCGACTGGAATTCGAACTCGGCTCTCCGATTTCTCAATCCGAGCTGCAATCCATACTTGCGTGTAAATGAATGTAGCGAATACAACTGAAATTGAAGCTCGTCTCTTCCATTAACAATTCCGAGAAATTATTCAATACACCACCGCAAAGCCAAGCTTGCAGCACTTGATATTCCTAAACGACCACGCATCTAGGTTTTGACTTGGCATTGCTTAACAACGATGATCATACGAGGCCTTTTGTGTCTACGTGTTTAAGCCGTAAGCATTAGGCAGGTAGAATATGAATAGAAACTTCTTCGAAGTGTATGCTTAAAATTACTTATACTTAGAGTGTTAACAATGACATAATATAAGACGTTTAGGGCATTTGGGGACGATCATTTTCTCTTGATAAATCCTAATCATTATATTCAGTCCCATGATCCATCAGACTGCTCAAAATATCTGGGTTGAAGAGTCATTCATTCATGTTTAACGTGTATTGGGTAAGTTGATCTAGCGTGGCCCACCCGTCCCTATACAGGCCAAACCAGAGTCGATATCTTCGAACTTTTAAGCTTGTCGGAAGAATACACCTCCATGGTCTCGTAAGCCCTCTCCTTCTTTCAGTAGCGTCATCTCATCACTACACTGGCTGCATAAACTCCAGTGTTAATAAGTAACCTGTCCTGAATATAAATCCTAACAGGAGGGTTGTAACACCTGTTACTCTGATTGAGCACATCTTCAGGTCTAGCTGACGTCAAATCACACACTGGGATCCCTTGCCCAAGCCGATAACAGCAAAAGTTACCTTCCTTCAAATCTAGCATAGTGAGATTAGGACCCAGGTCTCCTGGCCGAAAAAACAAACGTTATAAACACTAGGTTAGTTACCAAAGACGTTTGTTATACTTAATTTCACTAAGTTCTTGAGGTGTGTTTTCTTTCCCCAATAATTGATCCTCTCAGGTATATATTTAATTTAATTTAATTAATTTATTTATTGCTATGGCTACACTTGACCAATTGCGGGTTGATGAGGCTACTTAACCCATAGTTGCTTTTTTGTAAAAGTTCACAGTTGTCGTTCGTCTTGCCACCCAAGTCCGTCCTGATATTTATCCATAAAGAAGAAGGGTATAAGGAATGGCAACATACCATTCGCAAGGTTATATGCGAGTAAGTGAATGTAATGAATTCGAACTTTGCACTTCCTCTGTCCGAATCGCGAACCATTTCCCCAGCCTATCTGGCAATAAGGTCCACTATATTACATTAAGCTAGTTGGCCCTTACCTATATGAGAAAGTTGATCTGCGTTTTGAAGGGTCTTCTGGTTAATTCTTTTGGGTTCCCATCCACGTTCGCTTTTAGGGAAGACCGTTGGTGGAAACGGTTTTGCCTGCGATGATTTGACACGCAGAATTTAGTACTGGGTTGCATCATACCAGTACGACACGTAGATCAAGCATAAAATAATGGCCGGCCGTCTGTATGCGAGTATGGCACTCTATTATGTCAACCCGTGTTGTAGATATCTGCACAGGTACATTTGCATTAGTTCAACACCTACAGAGTCAACCACTTTATGCCACAGCTTTACTGAGCGAGACAATTTCTGGGTTGAAAGCGTTGTCAAAATCCTGGACAAGGATGGTACGATCAAACCCTCGATCACGATAACTACGTCCTAGTACATCCGACAGCTACCAAATAGTTCCCCCCAACCAATTTTCCTCACAAGAGTGTCGACACATGGTAAGGCTTTCAAGCACTTTCAAATTAGTACCGCACACTGGGATCCCCTGCCCAGGCCTATAACACCAAGATGTCACCTTCCTTCAAATCTACCATGGTCAGATTAGGGCCCAGGTCTCCTGGTCGAAAAAGCAAACGTTATAACCACTATTTTTTTTTTTTGTTTTTTTTATGCATTTCACCCCAAGCAAGGCGGGAAGCCACTAGGACGCAAGGGGTTACAGAAAATTTAGAGCAAGATCAGATCAGAGGGATAGGAGAAAGGATGAGGGTAGTGGATAGATCAAGGCAACTGGAGATGTCGATTGACATTACACTTGAATAGCTGGAGATTATGGCTCACAGGGAAACAGGAGAAGGGAAGGGACATCCACAGGCGAGAGATGCGAGACATGAAGTTATTAGTGTAGAAGAGACCAAAATCATTGTCATCCTTAATTTCACTAAATTCTTAAGGTTTGTTTTCTTTCCCCAATAATTGATCCTCTCAAGTATCTATTTAATTTAATGTAATTAATTTATTTATTGCTGTTGATTGAGTTTGAAGATTATTAATTATATCCCAATTTATCTGATCTGGTGCACCGGTTATATCTCAAAATTCTTAACAAAATCCAGTGAAGAGTCTGCAAGATTATCGGACTGTGACATTGTTTATCGATTTCAGTCACTTTTCCACCACCGTGTCATGGCTTCCAATCTTTTTCTTTTATTTTCTATAATTATTTTCATGGGGTATTTTAATGATCCTTCCTCTTTGGTACATCGACCGCATGATCTTAAACATAATACGAGGTTGTCTAATTGATAGTTTTACTCTTGAAATAAGTTACATAATGTCTGATAGATTCTCTTCTTGCACTTTACACCTGTTGAAATATCTACCGATTTCTTGCTACGCTGCCATCTACAATGTTCTGAATTTAAAATTCAAATTCAATCGGCACCTTTTATCTTCCAGAATATGTTATTTTATTGTACTTTCACCTGACTAAATTTTTATCATTTTATTTCACTCCCAGTAAAGCATTGCCTCTTAGTGGTATTATCGCCTTTCTTGATGTAAAATGACCAAAAACTACAAGTCGTTTGATTTTCTTTATTTAAGGTACTTAATTTAACTTATATGATCCCAACTGCTTAAAATTCCTTAGGAATCAGTAATTTAATGCACCGTATCTTCACACGTTTTAGGCGAACATATTTCTCTATAACATTTTGTCTTTTTCCCTCTATTATACATCTTTACTATGGCCGTCCTTTTACACAATGTAAGCTAATTAATTGCAATTTTACTTGCTTTTCTGGCTTTCCATATCTCATGCGTTTCTAACATTGTCCAGGTCTTCTTTTCATATCAAGTTAAGAAAATAAACAACGAATTTAAAAGATTTTCAGTTTCCCTCTTTCTAACATTTTCCTTAAAGCTTCCAAGTTTTGTCGTATATTTTAGGGAGATGTGCGTGGTGCAATGAGAAATAAGAGAGCCGAGTTCGATTTTTGTTTGGGTTCATTGCATTCACTTATGCGCAAATACCCTAAGAAAAAAGATATGAACCTAACTCCGCCCAACGGTAGAGGTTGGATATTAGGAATTCTATCTGGAAGAAGGACAGGAAATTAGAAGGGGTCATGGTCAACTTCGAGCTGAGGAGACACAAAACCTGACGAAAAAATATTCTTAAAATATTGCTATTCACGAATATTATTATTTTCGAATTTTATATAAGAAAAAAAAATCATTCTCTAGATACTGATGATGCAATATTTTTATGCAAATCAACAACATCTGTTCATAGACACATGGATACATGACCCAGTGTATAAAAGCTTTGGTTGAAATAATTCAAAAGTGACTTGACCCAAACTGTTGTGAGTTCGATATGTGGCCACAGTAGAGGTGAATAGACAAAAAAAAGGGAAAAAAAAGAATACTTGAGTTACTAAAAGGAAATATATGAAAACTGAGATATCCAGAAAAAAAAGATAGTTATTTTCCAAGCGTAGGTTAGATGTGGCACAAAGCCGAAACCATGGGGCATCTAGTGAGGATCGAACTCCCTTTTCTGTTGTAACTAATCTAGCAAGACAAGCTTGCTAACCATTACACCATGCCGAGGTGGCCTATTCAGAAAAAAGATATGACACGTGTAACTAGAACAATCTACACCCCATGTCGTAAATAAGACAATAAAGATGAGGACAACAGTTCGACAATGTGAATAGTGTAAATATCTATTCATAAGATACAAAATATGTTTTGGCATTATATAACCCACAAAGGGTTGATAAACCATAAAAATAAACTAAATATATTCTGGCTAAGATACATTCATCACTCTTCGGTAGAAGCGCTTCTCTGTCGATTCAAGTCTCTTAATATGTAAGATGATTATCCAAAATACATTGCCGTCCTGGATATGACTATAAGCTACATCTGCTTTCTGGGTAAGATGATAAACTACATTCAAAATCAAAGTCTTTCATCAAGTCTTGAGGAGTGTGGAACCACATCTTAATAGCTGGTGTTCCCAGGTCCACCCTAACCCGTTATGATAGCACATGCTAGGGACCAGATATGGACAAATATTTAACCCCCAAACTGGGCTCAACAAGTGTAAAAATAGGTTTTAATGCCAGAAATAAATGGTAAAACATTATTACCAGGAATATATTATTGAAAAAAAAAATATTACCAGCAATAAAAATCAGCACTATCTGTCTACATTTCTGAGATGAGGTATTGTGTACACTATTTACATTATTCGGACTCATCTTTATCGCCCTGTTTATCATAAGGTTTTGGCCGTTGTACGCTCCGGCCTTCTTCAGGTGGTTGGAATGTCGAATTGAACCCTTTATTTCGCTCACTGGGGTTGACTGTTTTAGTTCCACGTGCTATGTCTAATGGATGTCAGTTATCACCTGTTAATTCCCCTGTCAAATTTCCCCACCGCCTTACCCAGGTATTGAACTCACACTCTTTGGGTCCTGTCACTGGATCTAACTTTATCCATTGTGCCATGCGTCCTTGAGGAGATCTGTGCTTGAATTCCTGGGAATTCCTAATGTTTCATCGCACATTTTTTACCACTGTTCTTAGTGCAATTTTTGCTGTTATCATTGTATTTTTTTTATCAGAGCTCATATTGTAATTTTTGTTGTTATTATCGCTTTTCTCTGGCACTCTTTCTTACTGGTTCTCATATTGTATTCACTTCTATAATTGGTTGGCTCAGGAGATTTTTGTGACCTATCATGAAAAAAAAATCTTTTCAGCATAAAATAACCCATTAAGGTTGATATGCCGTAAACCAAACCAAACCAAACCAACATACATTCTTTATATCGGAGATTAGACATAACGTAACAAGTCAGCAATCTGCTTTCATTATAACGATATTCTTCATGACGTAATGTTCATATCAGCCGTTTCCTTATAAGAAACTATTCGACATTTTTGAACGAGAAGCCAGTCGGAAATGTTTAAATTCTTAAAATTATTTATCATGTCCATTAGCTGTTAACGCTCCTTTCAGTATTGATGTCAATAATCTTCCGGACCTTTTATTTGAAATCGTGTAGAATTTTGACATCTTGATTATGTGTGGAATTTTTCTGCATCTGGATTATGTCATTATTTTCTCTTTCAGTTAAATTGTACTGAAACTGCCGTTGAAAAATCCTGAAGTGGTTTCTCACATCTGGTATAGTTCTTTTCTTGCGATTCTGGAGCGTCAGTCTAAAAAGTTCGAATAAGGATGGTTTTTAGCCAAGACGTACAGGCTTTACCCGCTCAAAGCGCCTTTATCAATTTATCTAACATCCTCTTGCATGTCTGGAAATGTGTTCGAAATAAAATCCCTGACGAGAGATTCTGTAAGGCGTGCTGGGAGAATATATGAACGTTTCAGAAAGTCAAATGCCATTACAGCACATGTATTAATCGTAATCTTATTTTATATGTACAATATAAGATACAATCCACGAATACTTCTACAAAGTTTGATGGCAGTTTTCCGGCAATTATAGAAGGCAAAATGTCCATATAAGCCTATTTCCAAAAGGGCATCGTTATGCCTGAAAACAGCCACTCATAAGAAATTTGCAAAATGTCCTCGGCTTGATTGTTGTCGGAGGAAAGTTCAAGCCGTGGGACCGGTCAACCCATACCTATCCATCTTTTATTCTAGATGTCAACCAGTGCATAGCGAACAATGTGAATAAAATGTGCTGGACGCACATCTGACATGAACCACATGAGTTTTATTATTAATAGGGCTACATCCTCTAGTAGGTCTGGAAGTGTGTTCGAAATAAAACCCCTGAACACAGATCCTGTAAGGCATGCTGGGAGAACATAGGGACGTTTCAGAAAGTCAACAACCATTACAGCACACGCATTAATCTTAATCTGATTTTGTATTTTATCATCTGACCCCGATCCGCTCACGGTAGCTTACGGTTAAATCACGCTGAAACACCGGTTCTCGTTCGATCACCGAAGTTAAACATCGTAGAGCCAGGTCAGTACTTAGATGGGGGACCGCTTGGGAACACCTGGTACTGTAAGCCCCCAAAGTCCAACCCTTACCTCACAGTCGGTGGGGGGGGTGTAAACGGTAGTGACAGAGCTATGCCGCCCGGAACTTCGTTCCTGGTAGGGCCACCCAAGGCGGACAGGTCTGACACACACGCCGGCTAACAAGGGCTCTGGTGAAAATCCAAGGAGCGTCTGCATCGGTAACCGGCGGCTTCTGGTCTTTCCTGTCTCTGCGTCTGTGGGAATCCCGCGGCAAGCAAGAACGTTAATTTATCCCAAGAATCTTCTTCTCATAACAGGAAGAAGCCGGCTCAATCCGCCCAGGGTGAATGCCGCATCAGACATACAGATCCGCTCACGGTTGGTTGTGTAAATGTTGCTTCACCCGTAAACAAGCAACTGATTCGGCAGTTTGTGCAATAAACCATCAGTGAAACTTCTCCCTTGGCGAGTGATCAGTGGGCAATAGACTCCCAAATGATACGGATACAAGAGCTGCTCTTGATTTGGTTTGGTTTTTGTTTTACGGTATATCAACCTCAATGGGTTATTTTTATTGCTGGTAATACGTTTTTCTTCAAAAATCTATTTCTAGGAATATTTTTCTTGAAGAAATCTGTAGCTAGTCATATTTTTTTCTAAGAATATATAACTGTTTGTAGTGTTGGTAATTTTTAAAGTATTGCTGACAATAAGTTTTCCTTCAAAAATTATTGCTGGTAATATATATATATATATTTTTATTACAAAGTATTTCTGGTATTAAATCTATTTTTACACAAGTTTGGGTGTTAACTATTTGCCCATAGCTGGGACCCTAACAGGTGTTACCACCCCGGGTCAGGGTGAACCTTGGAACACCAGCAATTAAGAGGCGGTTACACGCTCACCAAAACCTCCTGATCAGAGGTCTTGCTTTTGGACGTAGTTTATCCTCTTACCCAGGAGGCAGATGTAGTTTTTCGTCTTACCCAGGGCGAAGAGCTGCTCTTGAAGTACCTTCCATCCGTTACTATCAGATATGCGGCATGGTACAACCAATTGATGTGTGGTGATACCTGGATCTGACTGTTCAGATATTTCTGAACGATTTTGGTTATTTATTTACATGATACGCATAAAAGCGTCCCCATTTGACGAAACTGTTTAAGTACGTGATTCGTATTTTAATGTTTTAAAAATTCGTATGATAATATTTTGGTTTTGTACAAATTTGCTGTGTTTGGTGACCCCACTTTCGATGTAGCCTATTCTATGTTCAATTTCCTTATCTCCTATACTGAATTTGTTATCACTGTTCAATGCGCGCCCTGGGTATGACGATAAACTACATCCGCGTCCTGGGTATGACGATAAACTACATCCGCGTCCTGGGTAAGACGATAAACTACGTCCAACAGCAAGGCCTCTGATAATACGTTTTTGAAAAAATAATGTTGCCAGCTGTACGTTTTTGAAAAAATGTTATTACCAGCTATACGTTTTTGAAAAAATAATATTGCCAGCTATACGTTTTAAAAAAAAATAATCTCCAGCTATACGGTTATGAAAGAATAATATTACCTGCTATACAAACAAAAATATTACCAGGAAAAAAAAAGTCGTCGACATTAAATGAACCATTGAGGTTGATACGCCGTAAACAATCCAAACCAAACCAAATTGTTCAATACACCGGCGTATTTGAAAGGTTTGGTATTTACTAATTCCAATTCCTGATTTTTTTACGATAGAGTCAGGATATGCGTCATCACTGATTTCATTAATATTCAAGATCATTGTTTCTGTTTGGAAAAGGTTTACATTGATTAAAGTTTGCTAAAATCCGCTGAAAAGACATCCTTCTTTTAAGCACATTTCTAAAGTTGTGTATTAATTATTTTTTTTTCTAATGGGTTTTATTTTATTTTCTAATAAATTATTATATTTCTTTCTTTTTGTTATTCTTTGTGCAAAATATCTTTGTTTGTGGAATTGTTTCTACACTATAATAATTTATGTCAATCTTCGCAATTTACGTGAAATTGTTAGTTGTTTTTATAAGTATCCCGCGAAAGGGCGATTTTTAAGAATTATCTGCTGAAAAAAAAAGCGCGGAAAAGTATTACGATATTTAAATTTATGTTATTTAATGTATTACGATATTTTGTTTTATGTTATTTAAAAAAATTGTTTTTATTCCAGTGTTCATTTTTAATTTGCCTCTACTTTGTGGGCGGGGGGAGGGTTAACATTTTTTAGCTTTCATTATGTCTGTCTCTATTTCGTTGTTTGGATTTTTCTCTGTTTATCTGATTTTCTTTCTTGATACTTTTCTTTCGGAAAATTCTTAGCTGTTATTCTCTTTTTTATTTTTCTGTAACTTATTTCTTTATTCTTCCGAATTCATCTTTGTTTCAACATATTTCCTTACTTTTTACCATTTTCTTCAATCATTTTTTTACTTCTTACTTTTTCAATTGTTATATTTTTTCTATTTTAAAGTCTTACTTTAATTCATTCTTTAAATCTTTCCCCCTTTCATATTCTTACTCATTTATTTTTCATTCGATCTTTCATACTGTTTTCTTTCTTGCTATCGTTGTTTCTTTCATTTTCGTTTTTCTTTCTTATTTCTATTTAAGTAATTTTCTTTCTTTTTATTCTTTTATAAGCACCAATTCGTTTTTCTATCTTTCATAATTCAATCCTTCTTTAATTTAAGAAAGTTATTCGGTCTTTTTCTTCATTCTGTACGTTTAATTTTTCTTCGTCACCCTTTCTTTTATTATTTTTCTTTCTTATTTTCTTCTTTCTTTCTTTTTTGCCTCCCTTATATATACAGTGTAACCCGGTTATAGGAGACCCGGATATAAGAGAAACCCGGATATAAGAGAGATTATCTCTGGTCCCAAATTAGAGCCTGTGTTAATGTATATACACAAAGACCAAACCCGGATATAAGAGAAACCCGGATACTTCTTCTCCGGTCCCGACAACTCTCTTATATCCGGGTTACACTGCATATATATACTCTGAAATTTATATATATATATATATATATATATATATATATATTTACATATAAGATGTAATTTATATATATATATATGTATATATATATATATATGTGTGTGTGATTGTATATATATATATATATATATATATATATATATATATATATATATATATATCTTACATAATGTCATTTTCCGTTCGTTATGGTTTATTTATCTTCTTCTTTTTTACTCTGCATTTTTTTTTTCTTTCTTTCCTTTTTCTTTCTTATTTCTTCATAGATTCCTTCGTGTTTCCCCGTGGCTTTTTTGTCATTCATTCATTCATTATTTTTCTTTTTTTTTTCTCTATTTCTACACGTATTTCTCCTCCTTTCTTTCTTTTCTCTAACTGCATTATATATTTTCCTTTTTTTCCTTCGTTACATTTACCGCTTTTATTCTTCTTTCGTTGTTTTTTACACGTCTGTATGCATATATTTCTGTCATTCATTATGTTCTTCCTCCTTTTCCCCTGTCTTTTTTATTCGTTATGTATTCTTTCAAGTTTTATTTCTTTCTTTTATCTTTCTTTAATGCTTTCTTTCTGTCACTATGTCTCTTTTTCATTTCGTTACAGGTTTGCTTGCCTTCCAAATTGCACCACATCAATGAAATGGTTTAAATGGTAAGGCTTCATGTCTACCCATTCCCTCTATGATGGCGATGAAGACCACTATCATTCATCAAACCTGACCAACCTCAGAGTTGTTAGAAGTCCCAAGTGGAGGCCAAAAGGGGTTAGATTATAGATATGGCTTCATTTAATGATTGGAGCCATAGTGAGTGGAAAAACAGCAAACTCACAGTGGAACTCGACATATTCTTATGAAGGAAACATAACATTCTAGAGATCCCTATTGATATAATTCTACGCACCAAAAATTCTTATCTATCTATCTAGCTATCTATCTATACAAGGTGTATCAAAATAATTTTACAAATTTTGGAGGTAGGTTCCTCACACAAGGACAAAATCCATAGAAAAATATGTCCGCAATTACTTCGTTTTTTAGTTATTAAGTTTAAATCTTACGCTATATTGTGCTGTTTTGTCATATAGATTAGTTTACATTTGTCATTCGTGTATATTTGTAGGTATACTTTAACGTTTAATGCGTGTAGTAGTGAGTTAAATGAGAAGAGTTACATATAAAAATGGCTGGATATTCATATCGTGAGCAGGCATATATGATTTTTTGCATCAAGCCGAGTGAATCATAATGGACGCGAGGCTGCACGACTGTACCAGATTGCGTTTCCAAACTGAAAGCAGCCAAGTCATTCAACATTTGCTCGTGTTTATCGTCCCATTGGTGAGACAGGATCTGTGGCACCACAATCTCTGAATCGAGTAAGACCAAGATCATCTCGTATGCCTGACTACAAAGAACATATTCTACAGGTTGTCATAGATGATCCAGGTATCACCACACGTCAAGTGGCCCTAGCATGTTGTACATATCATAGTACTGCATGAAAGGTACTTCAAGAGCAGCACCTGTATCCGTATCATTTGCGAGACTTTCGCTTTCTAATGACTCATCATGTGAGAATTTTTTACCGATGGTTTATTGTACGAAGTACAGATCAGTTTATTGTTTCTAGTTTACGGATGGATCAAGATTTACACAACCAACATTTGTGGGCGGAATAGATACAATACAGTCGAGACACCAATATCAGTTTACGATTAATGTGTGCGCTGTAATTGTAGATGACTTTCTGAAACGTCTATATATTCTCCCATCAAGTCTCACAAGGGAAGTTATTTCCAACACGTTTCCAGACCAACTAGAGGATGTAGCCATATTAATAATAAAACTCATGTGGTTCATGTCTGATGGGCCTCCAGAATATTTTTGTCACATTATTCGCTATGAACTAGCTAATATCTACATTAAAAGATGGATAGGATAGGTGATGACCGGTCCCATGGCTTGAAATTTCCTCCGACATCAATCAAGCGGAGGACATTTTGCACATTTCTTATGAGTGGCTGTTTTGAGGTAAAACGATGCCCTTTTGGACATATGCTTATATGGACATTTTGTCTTATTTAAGTGCCGGGAAACTGCCATCAAATGTTGCAGAAGTATTCGTGGATTGTATATTATACTGTACATTTAAAAGCGTCTACGGCAAACGTTAAACTTAAGATTTTGCGCACATATATTTATATGGACTTTTTTTCTGTTATGAGAAATCATCTTCTCCAAAGTTTGTAAAAATTTTTGACACATTCAATATATATATATATATATATATATATATATATATATATATATATATATATATATATATATATATATACGGACACCAACCTGTACCTACGGACACCAACCATTAATCTCTACCATTTCTCTCTCTCTCTCTCTCTCTCTCTCTCTATATATATATATATATATATATATATATATATATATATATATTGTTAAATGAAAGAAATATGAGAAAAACAGAAGTTTCTGAGTGACACGTTTCGGTCCGATGAAATCCTAAATGACGAAATTTCTCTTAATTACTTCACTTAATATATTCTTTATATATATATATATATATATATATATATATATATATATATATATATAAAGATATATATATATATATATCATTAATAATCTATCGACACACACACAAGCATATGTATATATATATATATGGGTGTGTGTGTTTGAATATATATATATATATATATATATATATATATATATATATATATATATATATATATATTTTATATATATGTGTGTGTGCCTGTGTGTTTAAATATATGTGTGTTTGTGTGTGCGCACGCGTTTTTACACGGAAGTGTCAAAAGTCTTTGGATATATAAGAAATTGAGAAAAAATCTTACCAGCCATGGCATTGATTCCACGACTTGATCGGAGTAATTCTCTCGAGCTGTTGTGCTGTATTCTATCAATATTCATAGGTTTCGAAATGGGAATAACGTGGAAGCGAACCCGCTACCGTCTTCAATATATCGATTGACCTCATGCTGGAGGTACGTGGGGGACGCTATTTATAGAAAAACTTCAGATTGTTCCTCAAAATAACAAAAACGAAGTAGGAAATGGCCTCCGATGAAGATCTCGTATACCACAATTCAGGTGCTCATTTTTCCTGTAAATCTTTTTTTCCATGCCTCATAATGGAAGACTGTGAATTATCTGCATTTCTTCGAGCAAAAAATAAATCATTAATCGATACCAACAAACAGATATCACAGGATCAAATGAAAAAATTCGTCGTAGGAATTCTGTTCCACTTAACCAGTAAAACTTCAATGACTTCTAAAATAGCAGGTACGTCTAATGAACAACTCTATCGCATAGTGGGAATCTAGAAGTAATTAATTCCTCAAGATGGTCAGGCATTAATAGTTCAACCAGTTTGAGTGACACTTTGATCTCTCTCTTGCAGCGAAGCAATATAAGATAGTCTACATCATAGGTTACCTCTGTTTTTCTAATCAGTTACTCGTAGCACGTCGTTTTAGATCCTGAATTCTACGAGAAAGAGATTTTTACCTTGTGATCTATGTAAAATGGACGCTCTCATTTGCTGACAATTTTAACCGCATTTTTTTTAACAGAATTACATACCTACAGGAATAATGCTTGGCTGGAGGTTACATGGAAGCCATAAATGTCTATAAATGGAACCGAAGGACAGTGACTGTCCTATTCTAGATTAATATTCCCAATATCATGTTCACGTAGTACATGACCCAAGAGGCATTCAAGTTAGAGGCATAATAATTAAGTTTCGGTATATACGGATAAGTTTATATGAAAACCCTGATAATACGACAGATAGATAACGGCTGAACCAGCACTTAAAAAGGTTAAGAAGTCTTTTTTTTTTATACAGCATCTCTCCTTCATGCCAATGGAATAAGGGCGATGGATCACTTCTGAGTATAAATCATAGCGACACTTAGTTGTAAATATCTGAACTTCCAAAACGAGTTCATGTGCTCATAGGGTCATTGCCAGAATTGAATCTTATTATCGGTTCGTTATAAAAGCTAAAGAGATTCAGTGACCAAACCTCATGTTTTTATCATAATTAATGACATCATGAACGTATATCAGGTTTCGTTGTGTTAGCAGGATAGCCTTGCTAGGTTTTCTGCTCTTATATATCTTGTAATCTAAATGACGCAGCTGCAGGTCGCAAAATCTTTTTACAGATGTAATACTACTTCATTTTTATCATATTTCTTCCGCCATACTTTTGTTCAATCTTTTCTTTTTCTCATCATTTTGGTAGTGCAGCTAGCTTCTTGTATCTTTGTGCAGAAAATCAGGATTCCGAGAAAAGTTCAAGATATTATCTCATAATATTAAACGAGAAAAGTTCAAGATATAAACTCATAATATTAAATGAGAAAAGTTCAAGATATAAACACATAATATTAAACGAAAAAAGTTCAAGATATAATCTCATGATATTACTTTCTATACCCATATTACGCATTTCTTCACTTCCTGACTATCGCACTGGGATCAAAGTGCAGTATCTGTTCTCGCATCGTTAACGGTAATGTCAATGCTAGATTATCTTTAGAATGACACATTCGCCATTAATTGAGCGCGTAGCTAGTGCTACTATAGATAGGCTTTCCTTCACCCTCTGGCCATCGGTCCGGGATCAAAATCTAATATCTTTTCTCTGTATATCTGCTTGTGATAGAAGCATTAGCCGTTTCCATATGGAAAAAAAACAAGCCATTAACTGACTGAGTAGCCGTTACTACTCGATTTACAATCATCTTCAATGTCTGAACATCGGGCTGGTATCAAAATGTAATATTGATTCACCATATTTCTGATGGTAATGCTAATATTGGTCGTTTTCTTAAAAAGAAACATTAGGCATTCAATGTCCGAGCAACCATAACAGAAAAGCTAATACTTTCTGCATTCGTTGCCCATCGAGTTTGCATCAAAGTGCAGCATATATTTTTTTCTCTGTATCTAATTGTGATTGTGGCCCGAGTCTATCCTTCAAATCTAGAAATCAATCGCTCGAACTTAAAATTGGATTACTCCTGTCATATATGGTCTGGAGCACCCGCTGTTCGCCTTTGGGTTCTCTACAAAATTCAGAGACGGATATGCAATGTGGTTGGCCCTGACCTGGCATCTCGTTTACAGTCGCTCTCTCACAAACGAACAGTCGACGCGCTCTGTCTTTTCTACAAATATTTTTACGGTAACTGCTCCAACGAGCTATTTTCGATAGTTCCCAAACTGCATGAATTTAAACGTGCTACTAGGTTAGCATCTCAGCCCCACCTTTTCACTGTCGAAACGGTTAAATGTAGTCGTCTCTTCAATAGCTTCATGTCTCGCACTTCCTTTCTGTGGAACTTTCTTCTTCCTACTTGCTTCCCAGATAGCTATAATCTTCAATTATTCAAATGCAGTGTCAATAGACATCTCTAGATGCCTTGATCTATTCCCCATACTTCTCTTCATTCTTTTATATTTCCCACCTTTCTCCCACTCTCTGTAACACCTTGCGTG